ACCTCTCCTTAATCCATTTCAAATGGTACAAAACTCAGCATGAGTCATCACCCTCATCGAGTCTATTACACCTATTCATATCCAGCTTCACTGACTCCCTATTCCTCAGTGTATCCAATACAAGATTTCTCTTCTTAGTTTTCTCCTCCTTTCCAAGGCACTCAGCACTCCTGTAACTTTTAGACCTCACTCCTCACATCCCTTCCAGCAGCTTCAGCTGCTCTTCTGATTGCTGCTCACTTCAGGCATCATGGGTGCCTTTAACTGTGCTGCACCTTTGCATCTGATTGCCACTTCACCTTTGTCAGCTAGACTCTATGACGTAATTCAAATCGAAACTCAAAAACAATATTTTGTTTTATGTTTTAGGTTCATATTATTTGTGTCTTTAAGTGTCTTTCACGGCCGTTCATGTTTTAATATTTTGTTATAAGGTGACCTTGAGTGCTTTGAACAGCACCAAAAAATGGATGTATAATTATTGTTATTAGGGGGAGAGCAATAGTCTGTGGACAGCACATATGGATCCGCCATGGCCTGCAAATCCATGCTCTTTTTCGAGGTGTTGTCCTGTTTTTGGCTGTTGTCACTTTCATTTGCACCAACGGAGGTGAAAGAGATTCACAATGGTTTGTTTCCTGATTAAATAGATTGACATCCCCGAAGTTTGACTGACTTCATGCTATATTGAGATGACAAAGTGTTGTCTTAATTTATTTTGAGCAGTGTATATACAGTATATATAGTGTTCTCCAGTCCACACCCAAACACAGTGAAACTGGAGCTACAGATCAAAGGGGCACACGTATGTATTGATCTGTTATCTTAGTTCGAGGCATCAAAAAGTAAGCTAGTACTCATGCACTTTTAAATTGGATCAAAGATTTAAAGACAAGTGTACTAGCCTTGGTACTGAAAGAAGTTTGAATCTTTTTTTGTGAGTTATTAAAAAGCTTTCACTGATCCTGACCTGTTTGTATTGATACATTTAGCACTGCCTCAAGTGACCTTCTACTGTTTTAAAGTATGGGCTCCATAAGTGAGACCAATGTGTTTAAAGCATGTCATCATTCTTTACTCCTTCTTTGCCTTGCTTCAGTCATACAGTCATGGGAAGGAAAAATTGCGGCAAAAATTAGAGAAAGAAAGATGAATTCAGCTTTTGTCTTTGTGGCTCTTCAGAGCTTTAAAACTATGTAAAGGGAAAAGGTACTGCAGTAGGATACTGACTGTTTTGATGTACTGTGGTGCACAAAATCCTAATGGTCTCTCCTAGCAAGCATTAACATTGTCCCAGGACCAGAATGGCAACCACGTTGGTCCTTTGCTACAGACAACTGTACATTTGAATTCAAGGTTTACTTAACCCTGAGCCATCATTGTCATTAGATCGTTTCTACAAAACATCTCATTGACTTTCAAATTTTCAGCAGCAGGCACTGTCTTCTGACCAACTCCAGGAGTGTAGAAATCCTCATACTAACCAGCCCCTCAGGACCACTTCAAAAACCTGGGTCATCCCAGGCTTCAGCTGGGTGGCAAGCAGAGAGGAATCTCAGGTGCTGCCACCCAGTGACAGTGTGTGCAGTCGCTTCACAGAGGAGGACGGAAAGGAAATGAAACAACCCGAGGAGGTTTGTTGTCCAGCCTAGATATCTCAATCAGATGATATTGCTTAATTTGTTATCTCTTAAAGCTTCTCTGCTCCCCTTCTTCACCAACTGTGCCAAGAAACTCTTGTAACTGGAGATTTCATTCTTCTAATAATCAGTGTCTTTCATAAGCCCAGTGAATAAAATGTAAATGTTGTCATCTATATATGTCACAGAAAGCCAGTAAAACCATGAAATTATTTCTTATCACCAGGCTGGTGCGGGCGAGCTGTCAGAGTGTGATGCCTTACCTCGTCTGTTTCGCCACCAGAGAGTTGAAACCCAAGAGTGCAGGAAATTTCAGCATCACAAAGCTCTTATTAAAGTGGGCTCTTTTCCCCATGGAGACCCCGTCCACAGCATAAACATCCCATCCATCACAGTGCATCAGAAATCTTCTGTGGTGACCGAGAAGTCCCTTCTTCAGGAATCATTCATCTCCCAAGTGCCATTAAGAGTAACTTCAGTCTTTCTTAAATGTCACATTGCATCTGCAGGATTACTGTAGTCACTGCAGAGAAGTGTGTTCATTCTGTTAAATTGTTACTAATTGATTTTAAATATACCAGGGAGTGTTGCTCCATCAGGCCTCAAATTACAGGATTTTAGCCTTTTAGCTCTAACAAAACTATTTCCTTTAGTTACAGATCAAAGTGTCTGGTCAGAGGGGTAGTTTGGGAATCAGCATAGCTGGTGGAAAGGGCTCACTGCCTTACAAAGATCACGATGAGGTGAGTGCTGGTGGAGAAGCGTCGGGTATTGCTCAATCTCTTGCAACACTACATTTATAGCGCATCGTTTGGCTGCCTGACTGAAGATGATGAGAAGCAGCTGCCGAGGTTCTCATGGATTTGCTGGTTTTAGTCAAACTCGTATAGATCTGTGTGCAACTTGAAGAGATTACCCAGTCACAAAAGGCTTTTGTTACATACTTAAACAATAATTTCATCCAAGGTTATTGTGTCTGTTTCTTTTCAGGGCATTTTTATTTCCAGAGTAACTGCAGGGGGGCCATCTGAAAAGGCTGGAATCCATGTTGGAGACAGACTGCTGGAGGTATTTGTAATAATTATTAATAACTTCTGATTTAATCAATATGTGCAAAGGTCTTGAGCCACCTCTCATTTCTTTATATTTTGCTTTCAAGCAGCCTTTTTAAAAGTGGTCAAGCAATAATTCTCCAGGCTTTCTGAAGGTCTTTTCAAAGTTTTTCTTTCCCACATTTTCAGCCCTGTACCTGAACATTTTCAGTTGTATCCACTTTGTTACAAGCTGCCACACACACACACACACACACACACACACACACACACACACACACACACACACACACACACACACACACACACACACACTTCTTTAGTTGATTCTACAAAAAAATGTCCAAAATTATAGTATATAAGTATTTTGGCATATCTCTGTATGTTGTCTGATAGTCGTGTCCTTTAGAAGTAGGAATAATCCAGCTAAGAAGATGGATCTGGTCCTTCAGTTGATCCATCCAAAGTTCACTGAGCATATCAGTGAATGGATGGCTGTGAAAAAGCCATTCCTAAGGAACATTCAGCTCCTTCAAACGCTTGGAGAACTATTCCTGAAGACTACTTAAAGACATGAAAAGATAAGCTTGCCTAAGAAATTTCAGACTCCTTTGAAGATTAAAGGTACATGCCAAATTTTTTGATTTAATTTTTACCTTTAATATGGCAGAGTACCGTATTTACAAGTTTCAGTAAATTGCTACACCTTTTTCTCATTTTCCTATAGCCAATTATAAAGAAAGCAGTGTTGGCTCAAGACATGTAAGGGTGCGGTATGTGCAAGTTTGTGAAATGTGAGTGAATTTAAATAACACACAGAGATAAAACTCAGGTACTTCCCATTGATGTTCCTCTTCTGACCAGTGGAGGGCATCATAAGACTAACAGAGGAGACAATCACTGCTGTGAGAAACAGAAAACCGCAATTAAGAAGTG